TATAAAGCTAATTATATCCCAATGTTAAATGAAATCAGAGAGGAATTGAGGAAAATGGGTGAGGAAATCCTTCCTGGTTGGGCTGTATTAATCTGATAAAAATGGTAATTCTCCCTAAGATACTGTATAAATTCCAGATGATACCCATTAATCTTCCAGAGGTGTATTTTAGGACAATTAAGCGAATGGTAACTAAATATATATGGAAAAATAAAAAACCTAGGATATCATATGAAGTGCTAAGCAGAAATAAAGAAAAAGGAGGGTTGGGAGTCCCAGATTTTAAAAGATACCATAGGGCAGTCATTCTAGCGAGAATTTTCGACTGGACACACAACTCAAAGAGTAAACATTGGGTCACAATTGAAAATACACTTAGTAGAAAGGATTTAGGTAGGAGCGTATGGGAGCCACCACAATTTAGAGAATTAGAGGAGAGCACGAGTGTATACACGAGGATTGTAATAAGGGAATGGGATAAAATGCACAAACAGAGGAAATGGGATTTTAATTCATTATTAATGTCACTAAGAAATTCAGATTTTTTTCCCCCAGGTAAAGAGGAAATCTCAGGTAGATGGATTATGAAGGAAGACGCTCAGTTGAGAGATGTAATGGAGGGGGTAAACTTAAGAACACTGGAGGATTTGAAAAAGGAAGAGGGAAGGATTTTCACTGGGATAGATATATGGAGATATAATCAATTAAAACAATTTGTGGAGAAATTGACGAAGCCCCTTAGAACTAGGAAAGAGTGGAATGAATTCAGAGAAATACTTAGAAGATAGAGGTGATGGGAAACACAGCACTGCCAAAGCATATAAAGCTCTCACGGATTTAGATAGTAAGTTTAAATTAAAGTATATAGAAAAATGGGAAAAGGATTTAGGAGTGGAGTGGGAAGAGCACACACAGAGGAAAATATATAGAATGGTACACGAAAAATATTAGTATGCGTGAAGTGGAAATGAATTTTAAATGTTTGACAAGGTGGTATGTTACACCGGTGATGGAGCACAAGATGAGGGAGGAGAAGCAACCCTGGTGTTGGCGAGGGTGTGGAGGGTTGGGCACGATGTATCACATATGGTGGGAATGTCCAAAAATACACATATATTGGGAAAAAGTTACAAACCAAATCACAACTGTCACTGGAATGGAGATAGGATTGGATCCTGAAATCTGTCTTTTCCATAACTCAATACTATCTGGAAATAAATATAAAGAACTGGGTATACTGGGCTACCTAAATGCAGCAAAAAGTCTGATTCCTAGGTTTTGGCGTAAAGTTGAAGCACCGAGTGAAAAAGATTGGATGAATAGAGTAGATCAGATTGCTAGATTGGAAAAACTCTATTATCTACAGGAAGATAGGATGGTGACATATCATATGAAATGGGAGAAATGGGAGAGAGTTCAAAGTAAAGGTAAAGAAAGGTACTGAGTAAGTAAGCATAAAGAAAAGGGAAAGAGAGGACAAGAAGAAACGAAGAGAAAAGAGGAAAGGATTAGGAAAAAGGAGAAAATATAGTAATTAGCCTCTCTTTCTTTTGCTCTCAAACCTAGGTATGCAGAGAATATGAGATACAAGTTAATCAGTCAGATGTCAGGGGTATATAGTAGTGGGGTGGGAGGTGGGCGGGTAATGGGTTAAGGGAGCTATGGGGAGAAAATGAAAATGATACGAAACCAGTGCTTTATGAGAAATTGTAATATTATATTTTCAAATATGGAAATGTGTATTGTTTTTAAATGAAAAATGAATAAATATTTAAATGATAAAAAAAAGAGATCAAGCACATCCACTGGTACGATAATAGAGGCTTTAGCTACAGTCCCTGCATCTTGGCCATACCCCCTAATTTTGCTATTGATATTATTCCATGGAATGAGACACACTCCTAGAGGGGCTGGCACCCACTGTGGGTGGACAAACCAGTGGAAAAATGAACAGAAGGTGTTTGAGGGCACTATTTTTACATGTGATCCCTTCCCAACCTGTTTCATCTCTTACTATGATTCGCCTCCATTTCAGGTCATGTTAGCAGCCAGAAATCTAAAGCCTTGAATATAAAACTTCCTCCTGGAAACATTCCTGAGCATTCAGGACAACTTCAAATTTAACTGGACCCCCAACAAACTCCCTTACCTGGGTGTTTTAACGACTCTTACGACTCGTTATTTGAGGCCACCTACCCAGCCTTGACATGTTACCTGTGGGACTTACTGGAATGGAAACACTATCCTATTTCTTGGCTTGCAACAGTCATGAGATTACTATCTTACCTAAATTGTTGTATTACTTTACAATATTTCCAGTACAGGTACCTTTGCATGTCCTGCAATCTTTTCAGGCCCAACATATTACTTTTATTCGGGGCACTTCTAGACCAAGGGTTGCTAGACAAACACTTTTCAGTTCAAAATTACAAACTTCTTGGGAGTCCCTCATGTGGTTAGCTACTTCCAAGTCTTGGGTGAGCCTGGAAGCTTATCTACCTATTTCCACTCAGGTCCTCTTATAGCTTCCCCCTCCCTACCATTTCCCACTTCCCATTTCCTTAAGGTGTTGCATAAGGTTAAAAATTCAGGTAAGCATTTATTTTCATGCCCCCCTTTCTTCATTTCTGGGGAATCTGCTTGCTCTCAGTTGGGATTCTCCTAGCAGTTTCTTCTGCTGGACACAATCTAAACTATCCCCAATCCTTGATTTATTATGCCCATCAGGCTTTATGTTTTTTTTTTAATCTCTCAAAGACTCTATACAATCTAGAGAAATATTTTGATATATTCAAATCAAACAGATGCTTCCTCCCATTTTCAACATTCTGATACCCCTATGCAGCTTGCATTTGAGCATATTTGCAATAGTGATCTCCATATCAAAGGGATTTTTTCCCAATATTTATTCATCAACAGTTTTATCTGTTACTGTTTGCTGTATCGAATGTGAAATGGTGAAACTGGAGATCATTCAATGTCCATCCTAGAAGGAAAGTAAATCAAAAAATGTAGGGTGGCAGTGATGTTAAAAGTCAAAAACAATCACAACTGTAAAATAGGATGTCTTTATTAAAAATGGATTAAGCTAAAAACACAAGCTCATAATTAGGATGTGAACAATAACCAAAGGCTCAAAAACAGCTCGAAAGTTTTGAAAAGCATTGGACAGTGGAAACTACACTATCTGGACTATAAGTAATTCCCCAGCCTCTGCTATATTAAGGGGTTCTGTATTACAACATATGGTCAACTGGCTTTTGGTTATTTTCCACATCTCAATTATGAGCATGTGTTTTCTATGTCTTTTTAGCTTAATACATGTTTAGTAATGTACCGTAGTCTATTTTTTATAATCATATGTGTGTTTTTGCCCTTTAACATTCCTGCCACCCTAAATTTTTTGATTACTGTTGCTGCAACAGATCAATATTTTAACTTTTTGATTCCACTGTTTTGTTTTCTATATGTAAATTGTTATAATGATTCTAAAGACTTCAATTTAAAAAAAAACAAAAAAAACATGTCTATACTTACCTGCTTTGTGTAGTGGTTTTGCACAAAGCAACCCAGTCCTCCTCTTCCCGAGACACCTGGCGGCACTCCTGGCCCCTCCCTCCTATCGGGTGCCTCTACAGCAAGCAGCGTGCTGACATCCAAGCATGCGCACTCCCCAGCCGCTTTTCCATTCACACACGGAGCCATGGCTCGAAAGGCCCCCCGTCTCTCTTCTCAATGGTTCAATGGCTGTCATTGACAGCAGTGGGAGCCAATGGCTCCTGCTGCTGTCTCAGCCAATGAGAAGAGGGAGCCCCGGGACAGAATGCATGGAGGTATAAAATCTTCAGCCTTTACATCCACTTTAAAATTCAATAAACCCCTAATTAAAAATAAATAAAACATCTTCAATAGGTACAGTGAGATGTTTGCAGTGATTGCTTTAATACACAAGGACTACTGCTGTCCTGCAGACCATAACTGCCATAATGCCTAATTATCCCAAGTACTTGTGTAAGTACAATTACCGATAATCTGTTTAAAGGGGACAGGATTGCCAAAGTTCACAGTCACTCAGTAATAACCGAGGACTGTCAAAGACTCCAATCTCCCTAGTGAAAAGAAAACAGCAAGAAATGCTAATATATGAATGAAACAATACCAAATAAAGTATCATTGTCAAAAAAAGAAACAAATATAAATGCATACTTTATTCAAAACTATCTCGTTAGAGATATACTTTAAAGTGACACTGTGACCAAATTGTGTTCATGTAGTTTTCAAAAATCATAAACAAGCAGGAAATGTGCCCGCTGAAATTTGTAACTGAAGGCACTGTGGAACTGAAATTTCACATTTTAAAATTTCACAGCAGAAACACTGAGGTCCTTCTTTTTCCAGTTAAGCTACCTCTTCCTAGCAGTGATTTAGCAGCCTTCCAGCCCTGTAAACTCCAATGTATACACAACAAAGTTACTGTGACATTTTAGGATGAATTGCTTCAAAGTGTCTGTAGCTACAGAGGTCAAGGAAAGCTGTGTTTAAAGCCTATTCATAGCTTGTGAAGAACATGTAAATACCTGAATCTCCACTACCCGGTCACAGAGCTAAGCGAAGACCCTCAATTTAGTGTGCAATCCCCTCCCATAAAATGCTGCATTAAACTGGGGGGAAACAGCTAATCTATTTACCTTTCCTCTGGCTTCTGTACTGCACCATCTTGCTGCTAAGATCTCAGGGAATGCTCAGCAGTGCAAATCTTACAAGAAGATGCTGCAGCCCAGAGTAGGATTGTTTTCTTGCAAGATTTGGGCATTTTAACAGAGTGAGGGGGTTTAATTTTAACTTACAAAGAACCTGATTAGGCTTTACAATAACAGTAAAATAAAACAAACAGGATCTATTATGGGGCAATGTATAAATTGTAACTTTTTTGGAACCAAAAGCAACCCTGATGTTTAACCACTGAAAATGTTGAAAAAAAAGATTTTTCTTAGTTTTTGTTACAAAATTTTGTAAATAAGTGATTTTTCTCCTTCACTGATGTGCGCTAATGAGGCTGCACTGATAGACACTGATGGTGGCACTGATGAGGCACTGATGGGCATTGACAGGCATCACTGATGGGCACTGAAAGGCAGCACTCATATATGGCACTGATAGGCAGCACTGACTGGCACTGTTAGGTGGCACTGATGCACACTGATAGGCAGCACTGACTGGCACTGATAGGTGGCACTGAAAGGCAGCTCAGATGGGCATTGATATGTGGCATTGATGTTGCACTGAAATGTGGCACTGATGGGCACTGGCAGGTGGCATGGATGAGCACTGAGAGCTGGCACTGATGGACACTGACAGGTGACGCTGCTGGGGCTACACAGATCATCAGGGCACACTGATCATCAGTGCTCTGATGATCTGTGTACATGTCCCCTCCAAGGAATGCTGATTACCGGCTCTCCTCTCCTCACGAGCTGTCAGCTCGTGGGGAGAGAAATGCCGATAACTGGCATTTACCTGTTAACATGTGATCAGCTGTGATTGGACACAGCTGATCACATGACCAAGGCAACATCTTCGGCTCTTTCCGTGGATCGGTGATCTGCTGTGTCCGAGGGACACAGCGCACCGCCGATCGCAGCGCGTTTCAGGAGATGTGCATGCGCGGTTAGAATTGGAGGATGTCATATGACGTCCTCCCAGAACGAGAGAACCACCTTGCGTCCGTCATATTATTACTATATGCGGGCGAGAGGCGGTTAAAAATAATCTTGCAAACACAACAAATAAAATTCTCCTCAAATTCCCACATCATTACTCTTTTCTAAACTCACTTGGTGGAGAAGTCACCAGTACTAAATTCCACCAATAAAAATCAAACAATAAAAAACCTGACTTTGACTCAACTCCACTATCAAAAGTAAAAGAAAATATTTTCTAAATTTTAACTGCCAGGTTTATTCCCCAAATATATATTATTATTATTATTATTATTACTACGAGTTTATATAGCGCCAAAGGGTTTGCTCAGCGCTGTACAATAGGGGGGGACAATACATGGCACAGTACAACAAAGACAGACAGCGTACGAGGGGTAAGAGGGCCCTACTCTTACGAGCTTACAATCTAGGAGGGAGGGGGTAAAGGTACAGTAGGAAGTGGCTGGGGGGGATGAAGTGGTAGGAGGAATGAGGGAGGATGGCCGTTAGGTGAGGGTGGGGTAGGCTTCCCTGAAGAGATGGGTTTTGAGGGAGCGCCTGAATGTGAATAGAGAAGGCGACAGTCTGATGGATTGGGGCAGTGAGTTCCAGAGGATGGGGGAGGACCTGGAGAAGTCCTGCAGTCGTGCATGGGAGGAGGAGACCAGGGAGCAGGATAGAAGGAGGTCCTGTGAGGAGCGAAGGGTACTGGTAGGGTGGTACCTGGTGATCAGATTGGTGAGGTAGTCAGGGGCAGTGTTGTGAACGGCTTTGTAGGTCAGGGTAAGGAGTTTAAATTTGATGCGTTGGGCAATCGGGAGCCAGTGGAGGGAGAGGCAGAGGGGGGTGGCAGAGGTGGAGCGGGTGGTAAGGTGGAGAGTCTGGCAGCTGAGTTCAGGATGGTCTGGAGCGGGGAGAGCCTGCACTTGGGTAGGCCAGTGAGGAGGGAGTTGCAGTAGTCAAGGCGTGAGATGATGAGGGAGTGTACTAGAAGTTTGGTGGTGTCTGGGGTGAGGAAGGAGCGGATCTTGGCAATGTTGCGAAGATGGAGCCTGCATGTGTTTGTGAGTGATTATTTATGTATATCATATATATACACTGTACATATTGTGGGACCTCGCTTCAGAGTTTTTCTTTTCAAAAGCACACAGCAACTCGCTTATTTTCTAAGGGCCTTTTTGCCCAATTTTATTTAAAGAAAAAAAGTTTCATAAATCTTCCCATGCAGGGGTATCCACCATCAAACAAATGCAAATGAATGTTCAGCCTCCTGGCTTGTACACAAGTTTTATGTCTGTCTCCTACAGACTCTTTCCAAAATGGCTTTTCCGCACACAGCTAGCCTGGTTTCCACCTCTCCTTGGTGAAGCCCTCCTGTCTGCCAGGGTGGAGCCCTCCTGACTCCTGTCTGCCAGGGTGGAGCCCAGAACCCTGGGCCTGACTCTAGAAGAGAGCCATGTACACCTGAGCAATCAGTATCCTGGCCATTCCCAAAACCTGGTCCCAGGATTGGAGATTTCATCCCTCCCAAATCGTTTTGAAATCTCCAGGCTCCAGGTCCCAAAATGGACCTTACAAACAAATGAGGAAAGTGAAAAGCCACTTTCCTCTGTATCAAACACTTACCCTGGAGCCCCTCAACCTGCCTTGTTGAGAATCCAGGGTGACATAACCTTTCAACATCATGACAGATTGCCACACTGTCACAATACACACACACACACACACACACACACACATATATATATATATATATATATATATATACCAGGGGTATGACAAAAATATGGAAACACTATATGATTTGCAGGTGTGAAAATGTTCTGCGTTGAAAGCGGAAGCGATGTAACATTCTTTTGCTTCCACTGTGTGATGAGACACCTAGATAACAGGTAGGCAGCCTCACTTTCGTCATTAACTGTGTGTGCTGCTAGTAATCTGGAGTCATGTCAGAGCTTCCAAAAGAGGGCAAATTGTTGGTACCCGCTTAGCTGGTGCCTCTGTGACTGAATTAGCCAATTTATTTGTGGTGTGGCATGGCACAGTATCAAAAGCTATGACGGCATATACAGTTTCTGGAAAAGCATTGTCTGATAAGCATAAGCACAGTCAACATGGTCAATTGACCGAAAGAGAGAAAAGGACATTGCATAGGATTTTGACCCGGAATAGGAAAACAGCTGCTGCTAAAGCAACTGAAAAGCCCAATCTTAGTCTTCCAAAGCCTGTGTCCACAATACTGTGCAGAGGGCACTCCATATGCAAAACAATCACAGGTGAGCTGCAATTGCCAAACCACTAGTGACCTGTAGTAATGCCCAGAAAAGGATAGAGTGGTGCAACACTCATAAATCATGGACTATTGATCAATAGAAGACTGTAATATGGTCCAATGAATAGAGCTTCACACTGTTCCCAACCACCGGACGTGTTTACATGTTGTGAACACCATTCCAAGCTTACGACCAGGACTGTCTTGTGCCAATGGTAAAGCATAGTGGCGGTGCAATCATGGTTCGGGCAGGCATGTTATTCTGCAGGCCCCATCATCACCTCAAAAAGTCACTGCCAATGACTATATACAAATTTTAGCCAACCATGTACACCCCATGGTGCAGACATTGTTTCCTGAAAACTGCTCCATTTATAAAAACAATTATGCTCTGATTCACACAGCTGACGTCAAATTGTGGTTGCAATAGTGCACTATTGTCAATTTAGGAAAACAAGGCTGGGGCTTGTTTTTCTCCTCTGGCATCTCTGTGGTATCAGATTCCATTATCCACCATCCAAGACTTACAGTATATTTGTGATTTCCCATGAGAATTCAAGTTGTGTTGGATGCCAAAGGTGTTTTCACTTTTTCTTTATTGAAAAAAAAAAAAAAAAAAACAGCACTTATACATTGCATACAGCATGACACAAAACGTAGATCACAAGTTTTATTGAGTTTTCCAAATAGCCAGATCAAGAAACATTACCCAGTGTCTTGCGCTCTCACAAAGTCAGTGTAGTTGATTTACTAATGCTGGAGAGTGCAAAATCTGATGTAGCTCTACATATCAACCAATCAGTTTCCAGTTTTTTTTTGTCAAAGCTTAACTGAACAAGCTGAAGTTAGAAGCTGATTGGCTACCATGCACAGCGACACCAGATAGTGCACTCTCCAGCTTTAGTAAATCAATGGCTATAGAGAACAGATTGATCAACCATCCCAGAAAACATGAATCAAAACAAACCAACAAAGGGAGGGAGAAGAAAGAAAACCATTACACCTAATATGGCACAGTTTACCCATTTCAGAACTATGAGTGATAACACGGGAAGATCAAGAGGAAACTCCCCAGCAAAAACCTATGCAATCATCAGGCCCTAGAGAGTTTACAAAGAGGGGCTTTTGCAGTTTATTTCAATGCCATATTTTTTGGTGTTCATTACTGAAGAGAGCGGTGAAAGAAAAATTGCGGAGTAGGGAAAACTGAAGAAAAGAGAGAAGATGATGTAGTGGGAAAAGAAAGGAAAAGAAGGAAGAGAAGAAAGAAAGAAAGAAAGACAGAGAGGGAAAGAGAGAAGGGTCGGAGAAAAGGAAGGGGGGGGAACCCCCACCCTGCTCCCCCTCCTAGAGGCCCACTAAAGAACCACCAGGTTCTCTCTACCTTCAGACATCTAGAAAGCAAGGCGTGAGTGGGGAAGATGCAAAATGATCCAACCAAGGCTGCCAGGTACTTAAGAAGCAGTCATAGTATTATTAAGAAACACTTCCAAAAATGAAAAAAAAAAAAACAAACAAAACCCAACATGTTTCATCAGGGGTGTAAAAGAGTGACAAGGTGCAAAAAAGTGTGTGTGTCCTATACAGGTTACATGTGTAAAATGGCTGCCACCATGTTTGAGACCTGTATTTAAAGCTGCCCATTTTGGCAACTTTTTGACATCATCACGCAGGCCTGTGCATGCGTCAGCGTCATTTGCACGATGATGCCATCATGCACATATAATTACATCACCACTCACGTACATCTAACATTCAAAAATGTTATTACGAATGTTACTGCAAAAAAGATAATGAGTTGGATGTGCATGATTACACTGGTCCACTGCATAAAGACAGTCAGAACATGATTTATTTATATTTTCCACTGTACATATTTGTAGAATAATTTCTGTTGCAAGAGTGACTTAATTGGAACCATTAGAGCACAAGTTTTCTGCCAACATCTGAGAAATACTGAAATGAGTTCTATAATAAGTGGTTGTATTTTGATCTGTTGGGTTTCTAACCCATCATGATGAAATACAGTGGGCTGCTAAACTTTCTTGCATCATGCAGTGCTTAATAGGCATTTACTGTTTTAGGGAGAGTGCCAGTTCATATGTTTTTATTCAATTTGGTCCAAGTCTTTTTTAAATGTACAACATATGTTGTTGAAATAATATATATCCAACATACATTTTAGTATTAATATTGGGCAGTTATAATTTAGAAATATTTTCCATCTTTTTTCTTTTTCAGTAGTGAGTTAAATCAAAAACCAGGTTTTTTAGTTTGATTTTTCTTGTTAAAAATAATCTTACAGAAAGCAAGAGTATATTATTTGGCATGTTGGTAACAGCAGATAAAAAGGGACTATGCCTGATCTATTAATAGAAGA